GTCAAAAATTCCCATAAACACACTCCTAAACCTTGTGGACAGCCTTCCCAGAAGAGTTGAAGCTGTTCTAGCTGCAAAGGGTGGACCGACGTCATATTGAACCCTATGGATTAGGAACGGGATGTCACTTAAGCTCATATGTGAGTCAAGGCAGGTGAGCAAATACTTTTGGCAATATAGTGTATTTTATCAACAAAAACCCCAGACAGGAGTTCTGAAGACTGCTGGAAAAATGGTCAAGCAAAGACTGTAAGCTGTCAAAAATTCTGATTCTTATCCAAAGCCGACTAAAAAAGAAAAGGTGACGGTGTCCCTTTTACCAATACTCCATTGCTATACCTTTTTTCATTTTTTGATGACCCTTTGAGGCAGTTCAGGATTAAATAGCAGGAGTTCTTTCTTTTATAGAGTATAACAACGCAAGATTGCACCTACACATCTGCTATTTTTTGCTTAGAAAGCATAATTAGGGTTACACATAATAATACTGCTATTCAATTGGCAAATTGACAAATTATAATGTAGTGACCAAATAAAAAAAAAATATATTAATATAAGTTTTGTCCACTCCTATTCTGAAGTAATTCCATCTATCCCTTGAGATTTATATCAATAGTAAAAACGTACATAAAAGATCATCATAAGGGAGGGTTCAATTTGAAAAGGGTTCACCCTTAATTGTGTGAGGTAGAGTTTAAGTTTAATGAAATGGGGGAAAAAAATCAACTAGTCCATGTGACTTAATGATTAAGTTCTTACTTAATGGAATCTGGAATCTTTCCCTCCTAAAGAGCCCATAGCCATCTTTATAAACCCCCTTCAAGTTTTTAACTCTAAATAATTGATCTACCCATCCGTAGTTCTACATTATGGTTCACATGCTATGTTACACTTGTATAAAATTGGACCTGAACAGGACTGGCTGTAGTTTTGGCCGACAACATTTGCTTGAAGGTCAAGACCCCTCCCACCTGAAACCAGCTCTTAGCAATACAGGATAATATGGTTTGAAACCCAGCTGGGCAAATTGTTAGGGCTTATTAAAAAACAAGTTATTATAGTCAAAAGCTGTGTGACATTGTGATTTCTGAGATTGCAAGTGATGTCCTATAATTTCAAATGGTGTATGTTTAAAGGGAAATTGTTAAAGTTCTCTCTTAAATATCAGGAATAGAATGGAGATTGAACAACTGTCTGGTGCACCACCAAAAATGGTACGAAGTGTATTCCAGACATTCAGCCCATCATTATAATTGGGGACATGGTTAAGATGGTGTAATATTTTAAATTCCTGGGCACCTATATCAGTAAGGACCTGACCTGGAAAATCAGCCCCACTGAGGTTATTTTTTTCTGAGGATTTTCAGGAAGAATGACCTGAAATCTCTTGATTTCACTGCTCAGAGACTGATTGGCTGCCCCCTTCCATCTCTGGAAGATCAATAAAGTCAAGAAATAGCAGACTAAAAATGTTTCTACCCAAGAGCTGGTTTTACCCTGAACAATGCAAATCTCATCCAGACCATCCTTCCCTCCCTCCTGCAGAAAGACCCCAGGCAGGGAACTGATCCTAGGACCTTATTGCTGAAAGGCAGCAGTGAAACAGTACACACTGCACCTACAGTACAAGCAACCTTTATTGTTGTTATCTTGTTGTTCATGATATATTTCATCAAATAAAAGACAAGCAACAATTTTATTTAATATAAATATTTTAAACAACTTTAAGGAACTTGTAGGTTTTAAAGGGATGACTATAACGAATAACACATCTACTTGCATTTCAAAAGAGGTATTCCAGCCTAACCAAGGCTTGATGCTGGCATGCTCTTTTAAGCAACTCTTGCCGCTGAATTTAGTTTATTCTTTGTTTTTTTTGATCAGATTAAGATTGTTACCACAGAGAATGGCAAATAGATCAAAATCGTGCCAATCTCATATCTCTTGATAACACAGCCTGACTGATTTGATATACTAAGGCTCGTGTTTCTGTTCCACAACATTTCCCTTCAGTGTTATGGCTCCATCACCACAGTCTGCTCTCTTTGATTCCTACTGAGGCCATTACTGATTTCCTGACAATACACCATTCAGTAGTTTTTACTCCTGTTGAAGTAAAACAAAAATGAATAAAAAAAAGAAAACAAAAGGCAAAGTGGATCCTTGGATCTATGACCTTAAAAAGTGTTTTTTAGATTGCGACAATAATTGAAGGGATAAAATTGGTCTACCAATGACACACAGTTTCAACGTTTATAGAAAAAAAAGGGCTAATACACAACTGGGGACAAGAGTGAAATACTGAGCTGATAAAGCAAAGCAAATAGCCCAAAAGTAGCTGAATAGCCTGGCTTGAAAGCAAAGATTTCTTAGATTTAATCTGAGAAATGGCTTGTTCATCAAAATCCGCTGCAAATATCATGCAGAAGATGATACAACATTTCTTTACTTATATTTAATATAATATAATAATATATATTTAATTCTGATATGTTTAATACAGACTACTTAGGTTTAAGTTATATAACACCACTGCATGTCCTAAAAGCATGCACAGCTCTGTCAATTTTTAAGACCCACTTACATTTTGAGTAACAGAGTGAACAATGGGTTTATTTTTCTGTGCATACTGTAGGTCCTAGACCTCCGGTGCAGGCGGCTTGATTAGGCAACTTCTACTCAACTGTGCATTTTTCTTTTTTAAATCTACTTTCTAGTAGGGTTGAGTGCTCCTATTTTTTGTGGATGGCTTGCAAACATTATAGAACATGGCATTATGTGCACAACTTTTCTTTTTATCAAGGCATTTGTTTTTGGAGCGGTAATGCAGGACCCATGCCAACACTGAGCATTACCACTGAAGGAGAAGGCATAAGACCAATCATCCTGTCCAGCATCGTGGGAAATGTGATATCCTCTCCTAACAAAGTGGATGAATTGGCACCTTACCAGGCCTCAGAGAGGCTACAGATATAGTAGCTTAATTAGCTTTGCATTAACCTTTTAAATGACTGGTACCAAGTGATACTAGGAAGAAAGTTCAGTATCAGCAGTTAGCAGGATAAATACAAATCTAATTGTTCAACGATGAGGAGTTGGAGAACCATATCCATAGTCATTTTGAAATGGCTTTAGAAAGCATGTGTTACAAGATGAAAAAAAAAATATTATTCCTCTATAAGCAAATATTTCTGGAACTCTTTTTAATTTGCTATTTCACTATGAAACAGGATGCACTAAAATCAAAATTAGAGGGGAAAACGTGATGCAACAAAATTAACCAACTCTTAATTGTTAGATCAGCACAAAACCAAATGAATGAGACATCAATAAGTTTTAAGCTTTGTCATGATCGGACCACAGAAGACAACTTAATGTGAAATGTTTCTCTCCATGGAGCAAAGGAACAGACTGCTAATATAATTTCTTTTAACCTCCATGCTGTGCTTCACTAATCAGCGTAATAGTGAACGTCAGAATGACAGATCTAAAAGAGAAACAAATCAATTATATATCCACAACAATATTCTTCCCCTGATAATTCAGCAGTGTGTTTTGGTTGCAAGAATTAGGTCCAAATAAGGACACTGTTTGAACTTGCTTTCCCAGGAGTGAGACATTACCGCAATAGTAATAGAAGTAAATCACAGACATGGCTTTCCAATTAATTCCTTGTTTATTTCAATAAAAGCAACAATAGGCAATATTCTGAAGTGCAACGCATCATCAGATGTGAAGCTATTAAGGAACCTCCACATCCACATTTGGCCCTTGTACTGAGTCGTGTTCAAGTATCTTACCTATAACATGCAGACATTCACAAGTACCAATAAAAACATCCTTATCTATTTCACATAATGCAACTTTACTAATGTAATGGGGGCATTAGATAAATTTCCCCTTTCTTCTTGAAATGATCTTATACTTGATTGCATATGAAGCCAGCATGACATTCAGTTGGGAAGGAAGCAATCCTTATGGGGCCCTTACAGTAATAACTGCACCTGCTGAGGCTGCAGTCTGGCGGTGTGGTTTTATGTCCCAGCATGACATTAAAGATTAATGTAAACAGACAAACAAGAAAAAAAAATCCTCTGGATTGGAGGAGAACAGCACAATTGCTGAGAGGAAATGAGTAAATGACCTTTGTGTAGCGGCTGCAAAAATGACTATGCTTGGGGAAGATAATGAATAAATGAATAAATTCAGTAGCTGTGTTGATCAACAAGACAGTACTGACTTTTGTTAGCCAAACAAGATGAACAACTGGGATCAGCTTGAACACTTCAAACATTTGAATCAATTTGGTTTTGTTTATCGCCCAAAATAACCAAATAGGTCATATGAGGGCATTTATCATCGTATGGTTGAGTTCTTACTTCCCTCTGCAGAAAAATCCATCAATTCCCTTGGAGCAAACAGTTGTGACAGTCTATTGTTGATTTATTTCTGGGGCGAACTTGTCACATTAACTTAGGCTCAGTATAAGAGGGTGGTTCTCACAAGTTGACCATAAGCAGTTTTACTGTTTCTTTGAAGACGGATGAACAACTTCATCTGCTTCTTTACTTAGCATCTGACCTGTAGAGCAACGCCTTCTAGCATTGCAAAAGGCTCCAGTTTTTATTCTTAACATTTTTATTTATTTAAAACTAGTATAGAAGTTATCTGACAAACAAACTGAAAATAGAAAGTCTGATACTGCAGGTACCTTGCATACATCTTTAACTCTTATCTTTAATATGAAAAAATCTACACTTTTCTAGACTATAAAGTAAGCTATGTGAGTAAAAAATGTATTAGCCTGAAATTATTTGGAAGAAGCAGGGAAAAGAGCATGCATCTTCTAAGTACTTAACATTACATTTTAAAAGAAAGACTGAGATAAACAGTAAGAAACCATTTCCCCCTATCAATACACATTTATTAAGGTCACATTAATATCAAATATAAAAAGTGCTTAGATGTTGTTCAAGGTTGTTTACTTTTATGATTCTTACCTCTGAGAGAAAATATCTCTGTAGGGGCTGCCGTGCTGCATGGCAATACCATATCCACGGTCTGGCGCGTTGCTGTTTACAGTGTAGAAGGAACAATCCTCATCATTATTGGCCACATACTCCAGCACTGCTGCATCCCACACAAAGCCAAAGCGCCCATATTTCACCTTAATGAAAGAGAAGAAAAAAAAAAGAAGACATTCAATATACAGTATTATTTCAGCATTCAGAGAGTTGTGTTTTTGCTTCATCAACAGCGGAAATTCAGTCTGAGTTATTCTGATAATCATGTTTGGATTCACAGTTTAAAAACGAACCAATTTAAAGCTTTTTTGTTTGCAGTAATGTTTACCAACATTAAGCAGGGAGAAATACGTTAGTGCTAATTTCTCTCAACACATATAGAGACCACAACCGGATTATGCGTTTAGGGACAGCAGTGATTTTTTTTTTAATTCCTTGTGAGAAAATGGCATCTTGAAAGCACTCTTTACATGTTGGTGATAAATCTTTAGATGTATATAATCAAGATAGCCTTTTTTACAAGTTGTTTACTACACTGAATCACATTAAGATTGAAGACTTCACTTTTTTCAGTGGCAGTACATCCATCCTGTGAGTGTGTTTTTTTTGTCAAAACTCAGAGAATATTAAGGAGTTTAAAATGAATATCAGGACTTGATCGAATTGTGTTTCATATTGTTAATACACCCTGTAGTTAAAATTCAATAAAACATTTATTTTTAAAGATGCAAAAAATAAGGATGCTGCAATATTCTAATAAAGAAATATTTTGATTTTGAAACATTGATAAACACAACAGTAAGATGCATAACGATACTCGCAGCCTTCTGCATACATACACTTCTTTTTCATGATACATCATTTTGGACCTGGTGTGTCATTAACTTTGATGGTGCTTTATAAAATTTTCAAATCCATCTGTGTTTTAGCTCGTGTGTGTTTGTGTGTCTCCTCACTTGGCTCACACGTAATGACTAATGTCTCAGGGCTGACAAGGCCTTCTGATTGGGTAATTTCACAGCCTTTAGTCTGCTTCAGTGTGTCAGTGTGTATTTGTGTTTTTACAAATGTCTTCACTATTTCACTGCAGGATATCAAAATGGCTCATTGTAATCTTTCAAACCTTCAAAAGAGAGGGAAGAGCACTACTATTAGTTTTGAAGACTAAATGTGTACCTTCTAATGATGGCTGTTGAATTGAAAAGCTTAACAGGTTTTGCAATACGACTCTAAATCTATTTAAATTAACTACTATTTAACAAAAGAAACAGTTTTATTACTCAATTCAATTGAAGAGAAGTGGCCTTTGCACACTGGAGAGGTTGCATATGTGAATGGTTTAAAGCCAAGACTATAACTTTTGGTCTATAAGCAAGACCCTTAATTCAAGAATGCTCCTCGCGCCCCCCACTTAGTGCATGCAGTCTACTGAAAAAATGTACCCACTGTGGGACAATTAAGGGGCGTTATATTAAAAAGTCTTCTTCAGCAGTACACATGTCATTTTCTGATATCAACGATGCATCACTCATATATTTGATAACATAAGATAAATGGTTTACTTTAACAGTTTTGCATGGGTTTCCATTTCACAAAGCAGGTTTAACAAAGTCGAAATTAAAATCATCAACTTTGAATTGATCTAGCCTGAGGTTGAAAACTGAGTTATCGGTTTCACCGGCAGCTATGAGTTAGCTTAATCAACTCTGAGTAGCTCCCCTCAGACTTAAACAAATGCGTAACAAGTAAGAAAAGCCATTATGAGTGGACACCGATTAAACAAGTCACCATGACATCAAGCAGCAGGAAGAGCCCATTTCATCTCACTGGAACTAGAGATTTAAATTAAGAAATGAAAAAAATATGAATACTGTGTTTAAAGAACAGAGAAACAGTGCTAAAGCTGCAAAGGAGAGGAAGATGGTGAAGTAGAAGATTGCTGCTTATGTTAATGCGTGAGTTTATATAAAGTCCTCTATAACAGACTGTTTTAAGCTTTACTTTAAGCACTCTCCTCTCTGTTGTTCTATTTATAGCTCACTAAAGTGGGATTCTTCCAGGTACAAATCACATTCCTAGTTAGAACTATAATAATGCATTTTCTAAGTTAAATTTTTTGCAGCAAAAATTGAATATCAGAAAGTAAAAAAAAAAAAAACTAAATTGTACGAGAAAGAATTAAGTTTTATATACCTAGAAATGTTTACACATTTTAAATCGCTGTGATTGGTTCAAGGGAGAGCAGAGACGGTGACACTCTGAGGCCCCGTCCACACAAAGTCAAAACGAACACGAAACGCTAATATTTTCCAGAACGTTTGTCGTAAAGACGGAGACGTAAAATAAATGTGATTGTCCACACGAATACATGAAAACGCGGCAAAATGTATGCCAGGCCTGTACGTGGCGCTGCCATGCCAAAGCAAAAATAGGCGACGAAATGTTGGGCATGCGCACTAATATTTATACATGTTTGCCCTGCGGGTCCATTTTCGTGGTTCAGTCAAATTCAGGTGATGAACTATGTTGTCTATATTGCTCTGTTCTTCCTGGAGATATTCCAGAAGAAGAAGATTCTGTTGTAAGCCCGACAGCAGGGTGAGTAGCATGAGCAGCAACCATTCAACACAGTACGGCGCCATTGTTGTTGTGATACTGTGTCGCGCATGCGTGTTTAGAGGCGACGCTATGACGCATGCGTGTAAAAGAAAATGCGGTTAGAGCTTTAAGATGGAAACGCGAAAACGGCGTTTCAGAATCTTCCCACTCTGAAGGCTGAATAAAAAAAAGATCGTTTACAGACCCCCGAAACGCCGGCTTCGTGTGGATGAGAGGCTGGTTTGGTAAAAAATTTGTGCGTTTAGGCCAGGGTTCGGCTTCGTGTGGACGGGGCCTGAGTTTACCGAACAAAACCGGCTCCCAACCAGGTTAGTTTTGCAGAGAATTCTACTATGGTAGCAGAAAGAGAGGTTGAGTAAACTCTCTTTGTGAAACAGAAAACTCAGAGTTTATGCATCAGAATAACTATTCAACATGTACAACATGGCCTAAATATTGACTAAACTTAGATGAATTACTGAAGGTAACAATAATAGCCACAGTGGCACTATGAGGTGATGCCTTGAACACCAATGTTCTCCTATCGTGCTGCCATTGAAAAACTATTGTGTGAAGTCCCTTTTTTCATGCAAATACCACATTATAATTAAAGCAGCACTATTATTTACTCTGATATGAGTTCCCTCAAAGTTTGACAGGTTCTTCGTTATAACCATAATTTTATATAAATTGCTCATTAACTAAATATTGTGTTTTCATAACAAACAAATCTATTGTATACCTTCGGTTTTTCATGTAATAATTGATGCTCTTTTAAGTAGCACTTAACATCTTGGAATGTAAATCTTACTTTTAAGAAAATGTATACCAATGGTTTTACGATTACAGCACTGGTCTATTTTAATGAGAGAAATTGCTCAAATAGAAACACTCTATGTGAACTTCTTTTAGGAAGGTGAACTTCACTCATTGCTGTGAACTCATCTGAGATAAGTGCCCACCATGAAACCCTGTGACCTCCTTAAAGCCAGTGGGCTGCAGTTCACTTATGTTCACTTAAATAATTGAAGAGATAGAAAGAGAAGAAACATTGCAAGTCAGACTTTGCTAGTGAAGACAACATTAGATTTACTTCTCCGGTATTATTTTATATATATTTAAAAACTATTATTATATTTACTTCTGCAATATTAAAAACAATACCAAACCAACACAACATATGTAAAATAAAGACCATTAAAACAATGAAAACTAGTTAAAATGAAACTAGTGTTGACCACATTGACCACCGTGCTCAAGGATAGCTAAGAAAATTGCAAAAGGTTACAGTTCTTCTTAATTTTCTTACCCATTATTTAAAAGTAGTTAAGGCTATTTTAATCTGATTAATTGAATTAAACTCTCTAACAAACACTTAGAGAGTTGAATTTCAACCTTAACCCTACATAAAGCCTTTCTCTCTTATGACAATAATGCTGACCATTAAATTCTTTTTTAATGGTCTTTATTTTTTCAAATGTTGTTTTGGTTTGGTATTGTTTTTGATATTGCAGAAATAAATATATTAATATCTTATAAATACATATAAAATAATACCAGAGAAAAAACAATATAAAAAGTAACAAGAAAAACATCAAAATGTATTTCTTCTCTCTCAACGATTTTTAAAAAATATTAAAAAATGCACGTTGTTCTTGCATTATATCTTGAGATAAGAAAAATGTTTTTCCTTGTTTGTTTCAATGTATTTATAAAAGATAAAATGTCGTATGTTTAACACTATTAAACCCTAAGAATGAGTTAGGTTTTTAGCTAGCCTTACCCAACATCCTGAGAAAATATCAAACTGACTCGATAATTAACACATTATATCATTTTTATTCATTCAATAAATTATTCAAAAAAAAGTATAAATACTATATTTCAGAAAGTCAGAAAAGACCTCAAGGTATGTTCTGGAATGAAATATTCAGAAAGTCTGGGTTTTCAGTTTCAGAAAACCAGATGGCTGTTATCCTGAATCGGCAAGATCTGTTGACCTGATGCTTAATCTGTGGCAAATTTGACAGTTCAGGAAAATGTTAAATATGGCATGCCCTTTAATAAAAGAGGCTATATATGTTGGAGAACAAATACTTCAGGTGATTAGATTTATTTTTATTTCTGGATTCATATATATTTGGGCATAACCATTTTTCATCAAGTACATATTTATAAGCTTTGGGCCCACACATTGCTCATGTGACACAACAAGCATGAATTCTTTGTGCTGCACTTTGTTTTAAAGCTGGCGAAACAACCAGCCTACAGCATTAAATGTAGCATTAAACTGTTACTGTGAAGCACAGGTGTCCATTGCAATATACCTGTCAATCACAAATTCATTTCAGAATCAGCGTTTTCCAATAGCAGACTGGAGAGTGTCCCCATCTGGCATGCTGGGCCTTATTACACAAAGCTGAATTCATAAATCCCAGCATATGAGATAACACCAGACTCAACCTAGCATGAGGAGCGAATCCTGGCTTCATCCTTTCCACAAACGCCAAGCCAGGCACCACAGGTGCACATACCTCAAGCCAGG